CAACAATCCAACCTGTTTTCCATTTGTTTTAATTAATGATTCCAGGCTTGGTAAGACCAAGCAATATGTAAACTTCAGTCTATTAAAAAGAAAAAATAAATGTGAAATTAGCACCTGTTTTCCTCTAACTAGCATATTTGTTATGCCAGGTGCCAATGAATTCATCACTTTGTGCAGTTTCGCAGCACAATATCGAACTATCCACCAAAGTCTTAAAGCACATGCTTGACGATAAACCCTTTCCATACGTAATTCTAGATTTTCTGAAAACTAAAAAAGTCTATACAGTAAATTTAGAATATTGAATAAGGAAAGATCTTCCATGTAAAGCAGAAATGAGATTTACTTCAAGAACTGAAAAACAGAGAATGGAGTAAGTTTCAAATAATCTTAATCAGAATAGTAACAAACCTCCATCTATGATATACCCCATTCCGTATCGGCGAGAAAGTACTGCTATAGAAAATGCTACTTTACGCAGCGAGTCAATACTATGCTTCTTAATAATTTCATATAATTCATTATCTGATTTACATCCATACTCGTGCTATAAAGATTGTCAATAACCACATTTCCACGACAGCTCATAATATCAAATATAAATAGATTCATTTTTGTGATAGCAGCGATACTATTTTGGTAGCAGCAACAAACCATCTATAGATGTTTCAGTAATGCAACAATGTTCACATAATGATCTATGAAAACCATGACACCAAATAATTCTTTAAAGGTATAAATTATTTAAAAAACCTTAAAATATCAACACCTCAGTAAATTCCATATCTTCTTCAACAACTTCTCTGATGGAAACTCGTGATATTCCTTGAGAATCTGAATCACCAAGTTCTTCGAAATCATCAAAATCATCATCATCAGTAGCGAAATCAACGTGCTCCATACAACCAGAATTCAGAAGTTGCTAAAAATCACAAAAAATTTGAATTTAACAGCTAAGTTCCACTACCAGTTTTTTCCAGAAATTTCTAAACTAAGCAAAAATATCTTAACACTCGTTTAGGATGCATTTTTTTCAAATACTGATCGAAATATTAAGCTACTCAATTAATATTTTTTTATCATTTATAATATTTTCATTTTTTTCCAGTAATACTTTAAAAATGCAAGCTATGAAATGAACATTCATTCAAATCTCAGTTCAAAATGGAGAAATTCACAACAGCAATCTTGTGACTTACATGAACTCTACCAACACGAACTCGAACTCCACTAACATAGCCATTTTTCAAAGAGATTAGGAGATCCAACATATGATTGAAATATTCACCACTCATATTCTCCTCACGTAAAACCATACAAAATGTAGGTCGTCCAGTAAGTTTCCATCTTTTAGACATAAATTCCAAATTCAGCTGTAGAGACCTCAATCTTTTATTTATTATTAATTGATGAGAATGACTTAATATTTGACAGTTGGTAATAAATGTTTAAGTAACAAGATGTGATGCAATCGAATCACCATACAAGAATACGCTCAAAAGTTTGTTAGAACAAACTACTTCATATGAGAAAGAGAGATGCACGTAAAGCACTACTAACATGGATCTCGGAAAAAAAAAAGACATAGAGACATTTCTTTCAAAAAAAAGATCGCGTTGAATGTTTTCGGAACAAAATTCTGTTACTAAAGTTATATTTTTTTAAATTAGCAATATAATGTCATATATTTATTTAGTTTGTTATCAAGTATCCAATTATAAGAATCAAACGATACCTTTATTTCATTAATTAAAACAGCTGGATCTGAATTGATATAAAAATCCTTCACTTCGAATAATAGTGGATAGCAAAGAATAGTATCTCCAAAACGCTTGAAAATTTTGCTCGTGTCCAGAACACCAAAAGGCCGTGGTGGTCGACCACTCAACCCCAATTTTTCATTTTTTCCTAATGACTCAAATACCTTGAAAAATCATAAATATAATGACGAAACTTTTTGTTAATAGCTGCCCTTTCTATTAAGCATTCATTAAGGTCCAAAAAAAAACTAGACCAAATTTTACGCTAATATTAGGAAAATCTCAAATTACAAAATATCATTTTTTCACAAAGTACGTCAGCAAAAACTTTTTTAACCGTAGTAAACAAACAAAAACAAAAAACTTGCGACAAAAGCCTGACAAAAGAAAAAATTCCGCGATGATTGCAAACATACCTTCACCATTTTCCAGCTCGGCCAAATTTGAATAGGTTCCAAATCATGAGAGGTTTGAGTGCTAATACCATATGTTGAAAGCATCATTTGCAAGCGACTTGATTCAGCGATCAAAACAATCTGCACCACTGGATTGCCTTCCATACTACCCTTAAACGATTTATATGTAATGTAATTATGTACACCTAATAATGTAAGGGAAAGCAAAAAAAAAAAGAAAAAGGAAAAAAAACTTATGCTTACTAAGCTAGCATTTGAAAAATGGGAGTTACAGCGTGCCTCCTCAATTTAAAAAAAAACTCCTGACAATGTAAAGAAAAAGCAGAATGAAATTTGGATATGTTGCTCGGAAATTTTGAAATTACGAAATCTACACACTACTTTACATTTTCTAAATTATCCCTATTTGAAAACACAGTTAGAAAAAAAGGATAATTAAATAATTATGCATTAAGCAAAATGAAAGAAACATGCACCTTACACAGCTTCCTCGCAACAAACTCACGTTTTGAAAGTTCTTAAACGAGTGATAGCGAAATTACAAAATAATTTAGCTTGCAGTCATACATAGCTGTTTTTGCACATCTCCAATGAAAATTAACAGAATCTACAGAGCAAGAAATCAAAACTACTGTTTTCATTATCTCTAAATTTTAAAAGGAAAAGTGTAAAGCTACTTAAACAAAATAGATCAAACAATGAATACAGTAGGAATCACAGAGAAGTCTTATTTGAAACAAAAGGCAGAACCACAAGCAGCAATCAGGTTTTTAAGAAGCATTGCATTTGGAAACCACACTCAAAGTATAGTAAAGGCACAGTATTTCCTTGCAGGTAATAAAGTACTCTTACAACATGAATTTCTAATTTAACTTTAAACGATCCTCCTGACGAAAAGTTTACGACAATAAGCATTTCCAACCTTTTGTGAAAAAGAATTCATTAAAAAATAAAGATAGAAAAAACCACACATCCGTTGAATTAAACTTACAACTTCGTTTGACTGTTCCATGTCACGCTAAACAAAACATTGAAGATTTTGTGAATGAAGAACGAGGAAGTGTTCTCAATTGCAAAACCTAACGGTATTTCGAAAAAAGATTGCAGTGATAACCTGAAAAACTGAATGACGATTTTGATACTTCGGTCTCTGGCTAGCAGGAAGATGTCGATAAATCGGATCGATATCAGTCGAATGAATGTACTCTTCTTCTAGAAAATACTGTGTAAATGAAGCATATGTGAAAGCAATTTCAATTTAAAAAAATTGTAACAAGTCTTTATTGATATGGTAATTTGTGAAAACCATACGATCACTTTAAATAGAAAAATCAAACCCTATCTATTTCTTTTAAGTTCTATTATTAAGCTCAAACAGATATATAAAACATGAAAACCATATGTCATATCTTTTGAATCCGAAAAATAAATTCATTGTACTCACTATTATTTCTGTTAATACTTCGACGGTAATGACTGAAAAACAGCACTAAATTACCCAAATACTAATATTAAGAAAACCTGACTTTCAGTTGAACAAATAAATAACATTTTCTCTTTTCCCAACAAAAATGTTTTGGTACTGTGAATAAAACAATGGACATACTTAAAAGTAAAGCTATTAAATAGATGGCACTGGACCAAAGATGATGACCTGACTCCCAAGTATTGACTGGATGAAAATCCTGAGAATTCGGTTTCTCTTTCTCGGCACCCATATGTTCTTCATCAATGAAATAGCATTCGGGTGTCACCAAATACGACACTAGAGATGAAAATCCAAGTGAAGTACTCAATAGCAGTACAATTCTCAAAAACTTCTTTAGATTATGAGTGCAACCATGAATTGCGCTTTACAGTAAACAAAAACAATAGATTACAACATACTTTCCCCGCTTGGAACGAGCACTTCCTTGGCTTTTTCCCAATAACGATCAGATAAATCGCGCTCTCCACGAAGATGAGCTGGAAAAAATGATAAAAATCTATAGAAGATAATCATAATTTGTTTTAAAGGTATGATCTAAAGTCTTATACTAAAAAATACCAGTAATTGTAATATATGAGAAAAAAACTGGAAATTGACACTCGATATTTTGAAAACGTGATGTTTCGTGCTCATCATAATATGGCCTTGAAGTATCTTCTAGTTCAGTACGATAACCATCTCGGAGAAACCTGTAAAGTTTGCAAACCCAAAAACCTAATCACTGTTGAATAATTTACGTCCCAAAAACATATACACTTGATTATAGCCTCGCACCTCTTAAGCCCATATCGTCCTTCTAAACGTCGAATACATTTATCAAATGTCTTTTCATACAGTTCAGGATCATGTGTAGCAAAAGCTGGCCAGCCTATAGATGGCAATAGTGCAGCATCGGTATTCTGAGATAAAATTAGATTTTTTTAATTTTTAGATCATAACTGGATTGCACATACAAACAATGACTTACTTTTGAACTGCTTTCTCTAGGCAAAATAGTTTCAAAGGTAGTACGATTCCTGTTGTGACCGTCGATATCAACATATATTACAGATGAACTAGTTCCGTTCGCCCCATAAACATTAAAGCCATTTATTGCTTCCAGTGCAGCCTACAAATAATATTTTACACTACAAATTGAATTAACTACCGAAAATTCCAGATACAAGACTGACAAAAGGTAGAGTATTTCATGAAATTACACTGTCATCTCCGTTATAATACTGAAACAAATAATAATTATGTAGAAAAAACAGCAAAATAGTGGTTCTTCATGACAAATCATATTTATACGAAAAAATGTTAACTAGGATATTATGAAAACGAATACCTTGACCATACCAAGACTACTAGCATGGAGTTCTCGTTCACCAACATTATATCTTGTTCCTTTTTCCCACATCCCAAAATCTGGGGTACGATAAGTTCTCTCGATATAAAAAACAAGATTTTGAACAAAGCAGACTTCTTCATGCGTGAAGATTACCTAATACAAGAATTCTTACTAAAAGAAAAAAATTGATTGCAGATCAAATTCAAAATTAAAATTACCAAGAACATAGCACACACGATGCAAAAAATTCAAGGCCTGAAACTGGGATTGCAATTATTTTACCAATATTGATTACTCAAAAGCTAATACAGAATGAGAACATGAAAAGAAAAAAAAGTATCCATATTTTAATGGAAACATTAACAACATTTACAGTAATAAATGAATATGTCTGTCAATATTAGATGAAACAATGAGTTATAAGAAGCTCATCATACACCTTTTAAAAAGCTTTTTCAGGAGCCACAGAAAACAAATGAATATGGATGACTTTTAAAGAAACGAATAGTTAGTCAGCAAATATACCTGAATACCTGCTGCAGTCATTTGAACGAGAGCCAGCAAATACAGAGCAATAAGATCCATTTGCAAGTGGCCATAGTTCTATAGTTTTGAAATGTCTTTATTTTTATACCAATTTAAACAAATAATGATACAAAAAATTTGTCTTACTAAATTTTCGTCCTTAACTAAAAAAATATATAACCAATTTCTATTTTATAAACACCATTGTCATATTAAATTTCAAAACTCTAACGCACGAATTCGTATTTTCAATTTGGACCAAAAACTTATTTAACAATAAAATAATTACATCACGTATGAATATGATTTAGCTATAATATGTAAAATATCTCCTCTTAAGATACCTTATTATTGGACTCTTTAAGAGCCATGCCTGTGTGCAAGTGGAAACAAGAATGTAAAGCAAACTCCGGCGAATTATTTTCTTTAAAGTGATTGAGCTGAAAACAAATATAAAATTTAAGTTTTATGTTCACTAATGGAAAAATTTCCAGTTGTGAAAAAATACATATAAAAAAGGCATTGAGAGCAGTGGTGGGATGCAATGAACATGGAAATCAAGCTTCACTAAATTAAACAAGGTCCGATGAGAATGTACGAAATCTAAATTCTCCTGACTTCCCAAAAAAGTTTTTACAAATGCTGATGTAGTGTAACACTGCATCAGCATTTGTAAAAACTTCTTATGTGATTTCTAACTAAATACATTATCAAGTTGCTGCATCCAACAAAACATAATTCCGCGCATTGTTTTCACCGCTGACTGTCGCAATTCTGTTTGCCTTCCTCGATCGTCATCCAGTCGTCTATAAAAAGTTTGAAAAAAAAATCAATCTTTGGTGAAAATTTACTGTGACTTAGACTTGCCAATTAAAAAATTTCAAGTATTTTATCACAGTGTAATAATGCTTTAACGTCCTGATTTATAACGATCTGACTGAAATACGAAAAATTACTTGTAAGCAGTGGATGATGCCCAACATGCCAAAGCACAATAAATGCTATCTTTGACGAAGCCGACTTCACAGCAATTTGAATATCTAGGAAACAGCCCACTAGTGGCACTTTGGTGATCCAGAATAAGTTTATGGGCTGAAAATTAAAATGGATGATAAGTTATTAGGCAAAATCTTTTGACTTACAAAGTAAAAAATGTTGTTTGTCCTCCAGACAATTCAGTGCTAGCGGTAACTTCACCAAGATAATGATTTGAAATTTTAGAAAGTATTATTTCTGTTTTCGCACATATTATTTCCATGAGAGATTACTAACAAATCTCAAAGCGTGTCAAGCAATACCTACTTTACTTAACGAATAACTCCACGAACTGTCTACATAAACAACACCATGCTGTCAAACTTCCTGAGATATATGAAATATCTCAATAAGCAACAAGAAGAATTCACAGCAAAGAGCAAATGAAATAAATTTTAACTAATGTAGTAGATATTGTCCATTTTATCGTACGCCGTGCGAATAATCATTGGTTGAAACTGGATAGCAGGCGTAAGATACGCTTGGGTTAAACGTCGCAAACGTGTACTTGTAATACGACGTTCTCGCGTTTGCTTCGTTTCGCCCAACATCTTCAAACTGCAGCTTGTCATTAGCAATATACTGTTGCTAATTTTCAGACATTGAAAGATTCATTAATCATTTTAACAATGAATTTTATGAGTAAAGAACTCTTTCGGCAAGAAATGTTAGAACATGAATAGCAGGTAAACTGTGGAACCAAAACCACAGTTTACCTACAGCCCCAGATCAATCCCGATAAAGCTGCACCTTCACATGTAAGCAAAAGGAATAGCTCTTCCAGCGTTCTCTTCCACACACCTATATCAATATTTCGTTTCAAGAATCACTTCTTTGTAGATTTCGAGCTTTCTGTAATGAATAATATTTGTCAAGAATCATGTCGACATAACTGTTTGAAAATAACGATATGTTGCGCACAAAATATGTGAAAGAACTCTGAATATGTTACTTTTTCAGATACATATTCATAAAAAATATACTGGTATGGAGAGAAAACTTCTGTGGAACATGTAGAAAAAAAATGTCAATGAGAATGTCATTAAAAATGGAATTTATTCATAAATGCGCTGATGGGACTCCTGATAAAACTCATTACTATACGGAATTAGAACTTTGTGAATTGAGAGTATTTAAAAACTTCGATGGTAAAAAAAGAAACTAAATGTGTTTTTCGTGCTACTAAATCGACGGTAAATAACTGTCTTTCAAATTGGAAATTGCCGGAAATCAGCAGTCATCTTGCTGATGAAGTTGCTTTGTTATGTTTGCAGAAAAAATGAGGAACTATGGTAAAATGTTATTGTTGGCGAATATTAAAATATATGAACATATATTTATACAATAATCAAATTTCAAATTGATGAAAGCACTGAATGTTTACAGAATTTCTGATCCGGTCACAATAAAAATTTCAGCTCTACACTATTTTCAAACGTTTTAGATAACTTTGGAAGAAGTTTTTCTCACTCAGTCGCTTGAAAAAAATTAGTCCATCTTAGCCTAATTACTTTCATTTAATTAGAATTTTGAAATTCAAGCTGATAATATGACATGACAAAAAACAATTCTATTAAATTTCGGAATGGTTAAAATGAACTTTGAAAATCTCAAATCAAATACTCATCACAAAATTACTTATTGATGAATATGTAACTTGTGTACGTCCAATCATGGACAGAAAATTTTTTAAAACTAGAAAGTAGCAATATGATTAATTTTCAAATGCATCTCAATGTTACTGCTGCTGTGCACAAACGCTGCTTTAACTTCGTTCTGATCCTTTTTCTAAATTAATTATATTTATTAAGAAATGATAGATAAAATTTGTAAAATAATGAAGGAAATGAAATTTTCAAATAATTCCAAGAAAGCTGACACAGAAGTAAAGGCTTTGAGTGGCAACAGAAATCAATAATATATATTTCATAAACCATTTGAAAAACTAATTATAATTTTGAAAAAATGTATAATTTTTAGATTCTGTATACTTTCGCAGAAAAAAAATCGTCAAAAATTTGATGTGTGAAAAAAATTATATCAATTACTTACCGGAATAAATATAATTTTTTCTCCGTCTGTTATGAATTTGTTCAGTGCACGTGAATCACTGTAGATTAGAATTAAAAGTTTACTGAAATAAATAAGCTGTCAAATTTTGTTAACAAGAATGACTAAGCTAATATGTCTGTTAACATAGCTATTGTTATAGCTATTGGAAGAAGATTAAAAGTAATAATTATAAGTCAGAAAAAATAACTCTAATTTGTAAAGAGATTTTTTTCATTTGATATCAAATTGTAATACGACACGCATTGAAAAAATAACTGATAATACTGGTAGGGAAACAAAAATGCGAATCATCAGTACGAAAATTGAAAAGCAGACAAATTTTGCTGCATGAAGATAAAAATTGTAAATAAGCAATCAGGAGAATAAATATTGAAAATATTTGAAAGAAAATTCTGGTGCATAAAAGAATATCTAAATAATATCCATCAGAGATGAGGATTCAATGAACCTCCTATTCTTAGTTTTCTTTTTCAAATTTTCACCACCTGCCCTAAATTCTTGATGCACAAATTTTTGATTTTATCAGTTTCGTTTAAGAACTTTTTCATTTAGCAAATTTCCCAATTTTTTAAAAAAGTTTATCAAATTGCATAACTATTGTCTGCCTTGCAAACTTTTTTATTTTTTCTGAGGTAATTCAAACAATTTTTTATTATATAAATGAACTTCTTTTTTGAAAAAAATCTCATGATAAAATTTTGTTGCTAAAATTTGTAAAAGTCTGCCCTTAATCGGTATTACATCTAAATTTCTTAATTTACTTTTCAATAAAGAAAATTTTTCTTTGTCATTTTTTAGCGGAGAAGAAATTTATGCATGCATGTATTAAATTTATGATGAAAAAAATGATTTAATTTTGCGATACTTTTTTCTAAATGAGGTTATATCGACTATCTGTACTTTTTTGGCTACGTTCCTTGTAGTTTAGTCATCTTTTAAGAGTAGTGCAAATTTGGAAATGAATTGAATACTACTTTAAAAGTTGGAAAATTCATACTGCTTCTATCTCTAAATTGTTATTGCTTCTCTCATTCTTCACACTTTTGCAAGTTTGCAAAAATTTCTCCATAAGACCGAAATATTCTTAAGCCCTGTTAATATCCTTTATTTTGAAAGACCTAGTTTATTCTATGAAAAATAACACTGCATTCCAATTAAAAAAAATAAAGTCTTTGCCAGATGTTTTTTTTTGACTGATAAAAACTGTTCTAAATCAACTACTTTTTGGCTTGCAAAATATCAGCTAATGTTCGTTGATTAACTAACATCACTTATATTAATGCATAATCCATCTCCAAAAATTATTTTAACGAGTTTATTGATTCTGGAACTCAGTCTAACTCCTAACAGTGTTTTATTTCTTTTATAATATGCGGGTGAAAAAAGTTGAAAAAACAATAGAAAGATCTACACAACTTGGAAGATTCAGAGCAATTATTTTTTGCTTAAATTAACCTTCAGAAGCAGTTTCGCTTGAATAATTTGATAACTTGGAAACTATTTCATCTCATTCAGTCTTGATGTGTGACATAGTATGTTTAAAAATACTGAGTTTTTATTCAAGTATGACATAGTATTTTTAGCACAAAAAATTTTCCACTTATGCAGTTGGAGGAGATGCAATATGACACGAATGGCTGTTGTTGCATTTAAATGTTCTTGCACAAAAGAAAAAGAAAGGATATTCAGTTGAATATTTCTTAAGCGAGTATATTTTTAAGAAATTTACTGCACGAATTGCAGTTACACTAATCACAAGCAAGTATTATGTTTTAGTGTGTAGTTTAAAACTTGTTGAGACTAATAAATAATTAACAGTTACAAGTTTGCCTAATAAACGTTAAAAATATTTCAATGAAACCAAATTTTTCAATATTTTATGTTGAGATATTGAGGAGGTCAATACAATGTTTGTTAACTGTATCATGCATACGAATATCACAACTGTCCCTTTCTTCCGTTATATTACTAGAAAAAAATAATACACATTTTTCAATGTATTTTATCGATGAAAATTATGAAGACAAGAGATAAGAGAATTCATTTTATAATTACTGGAGCATTTTACCATCTAAATCACGCAATTTCCCTTCAGAATAATTGAAAAATAACGATTATGTCTGATTAATAAATAATGCTAATTGAATTTTCGCTGTTGTTTTCCTCAAATAAATTGAATCTTTGTCATCAAATTCGCGTACTTTTTGAATGCATTTATGAATTTAACTCAACGAATTATATAAATAGAAATTTTCATCGAATTTTTTAGAAAATATGTGTGACATAATCTCATTAAGGCAAAGTCATTTCCTTCTTTATCAATGAACTGCCTATAACACTCAATAGAACTAATAGATACAGAGCAATAGGCACCTCACATAAAATTTGCAAAATTTATTCCACGGTATTTTAAATCCCCTAAAATGCTACTAATATCCAATTCACGCTTTGAAAATTTGCCTAACTTTTATATTTCAACTTCTTTGCAGCTTATATAACCAGGAAAAACATTACTTCAAACTCCTAATCTTTTGCAAGGCAGTTTCTAGCTAATATCAGAAATTTTTGCAAGTGTAGCTAATAAAATGGTGAGATGGAAATTATTCCTGCTCAAAATATTAACTGTATCAATCCATGACGAAAAAAGATAGAATCACTCTGTTAAGCGAATAAGAAATTAGATTAAGCTATGAGCACATACTTGGTGTTCTAGATTAAAACGCTGAACATTTTTGTTAAAGCATCTTTAAGATTCGTCTTAACGTCTCAACAGTATCGAATAAGGCAATGTAAATAAAAACCATCCTTCAATCATTTGATTTTTGTTCGCTTTAATCTAGTTTCTAAAAACTTTTCAATTTTGGAAAGTTTTACATGATCTAATTGGCGTCTACATTTGCCTAAATACACTTTTTTTGCAATCAACTCAATAAGTATTTGTTACCGGTCTTAAACGTAACGCAAGTAGAAATCAAATGCTAATGCAAAAAACCGATAGGAAAATCTAAATAGAAGAAAATTAGTTATTATAAAGTAGTTTAATAACAAATAATCTGTGGACATTGTAAGCCTCTTTGAGCTAATCGCATTTCAGTTCTCTATTTCATTTATAAAATAAGTAAAAATGTTAGTTAAGTGATAAATAATTAAAAGTTTTTACTCATATCGGTCTTTTTATTTTCCTGTAAATAAACTTACCTGAAATTACAGCTTTTTCTGACATTAGTGCAAATGAAAATTATGAGTATAATGTACTCTCATATCGGAATTCTTATGACATAAGTTGCTGTCTGTCCTTGAGATCATGACAACATGCTTAACGGATGTCATCATCAATTAATTTACTGTAATTAATGATACACCATTTTGCAATTCATTTGCTACCTAAAATTTTCAAGCATTCACTTCGTTGTTTTTTCGTCAAAATATGCCAAATTAAGTTATTTAGGCTGAGTCTTTTTCTCAGTTCTTCTTGCAC